CTGCTCTCCGGTATTTTGGTTGATTTTTCTCTTTCAGTCACCCCGCTAGAGTTATACAAAGGGATTTTATTACTGGACGATTCAATGTCTTCCATATCCCGAGGGCGAATGTGATCTGCATGTCTACGCTTCTCTATACCTTCTGGTGTCTGTACAATATAAGAATATCGGTGCGTTCGTTCAGATATAATTGCTGGTTTCCATTTTGAATCAGTTTTGGTTCGCACATAAACTGGGTCACCGGGTTGATAGGTAGGAGTTTGATGGTCACTATTTATATTAGCTTGTAGATGTTTGAATTCTAACATTTGTCTCGTATTTGGTCGTGCATTAGCTAGCACACAAGTTAACTGGCGTCCAAACATCATGTGGGCAGGTGATTTGCCAGTAGTACTGTGAGGTGTATTGCGATATGTGAAGAGAAATTCATTAAGCCTTTCTATAAAATGTTTTTTATCTTCGCTGGCAGCCATTCTGGTCTTGAAAGTACGTATAAGTCGTTCCGCCAACCCGTTAGTCCGTGGATGATATGGTGATGACGTGACATGTAGGATTCCTCTATTTTTGCAGTACTCTTGGAAATCTTGTGATGTAAACTGTGGCCTGTTATCAGAAACTATTATTTTTGGTAATCCAAATGTTGTAAATATGTCTTCGAGTTTTTCACATAACTTTTGTGTGGTGATTTTCATCATAGGCTTTATCTCGATCCATTTGGAGAGTGCATCAGATAAAACAAACCAGTATTTCTCTTCAAATGGGCCCGCAAAATCGACATGTATCCTTTCCCAAACTTTGTCAGGTATGGACCACGAGTAGACGGGTAGTTCGGGACCATTTTGTCTATTTGCTTGACAATTTTGACACCGTTTGACATAAGTATCTATGTCGTCCTCCACTGATGGCCACCACACATAAAATCTCGCCAGTGCCCTCATTGCGGATATGCCGGGATGTCCCCTGTGGAGGTATTTCAGTGTTGCCTTACGTAGTGTTTCGGGAATTACAATCCTTCCTTGCCACATGATTATTTTCTTTTCTACCGACAGCTCGTTGCGTTTTCTAAAGTATGGTTTGAGTTCACTTTTTTGGTATTGTGAGCCATTCCAGTCAGTACTTATACATTGTTTTACTTCTTTCAGAATTGAGTCATTGTTTGAATGTTCTCTAATGAGGCTTTCTGTTAGTGTTAGATCATCAAACTTGTTCGACTGCAATAGGTTAGTAATTTTTTTTATAGTGGTTTCTTCTTTCGACATTTTCTCTTCTGGATTTGGTAATCTAGAGAGAAAGTCGGCCAGGTTATTATTTTCGCCCTTTTTAAAAACAATGTTATAGTCGTAACACCCGATTAATAACGCCCACCTTACAAGGCGATTGTTCACCAATTTCGGTAAGTTGCGGTTAACTCCCAGTAGGTGGGTTAAGGGTTTATGGTCAGTTACTAAGGTGAAATGTATACCTCGAAGGTATTGATCAAATTTTTTTACGCCAAAAAATATTGCCAGTGCTTCGCGGTCAATAACAGAGTACTGGCTTTCTGCTTGTTTTAATTTTCTCGAAGCAAAAGCTATAGGCTGTTCTTGATTTCGAATGACGTGGTATAAAACGGCACCTACGCCTTTCTCAGATGCGTCACAAGCCAAAAAAAGTGGTTGCTTCTCATCAAAAGCTATTAGTGGTTTGGTGTTTGCTATAAGTGCTTTTGTTTTCTCGAATACACTGTTCTCGTGTTCTGTCCATTTCCACCTTTGCCGCTGACCCGTAAGAGTATGTAGATCCGCACAGATACTATGAAGATGTGGGATGAAACGTTCATAGAAATTTAACAGTCCGAGGTATGATCTAAGTTCTTTAGTATTTTCAGGAGCCGGGGCCTTCAAAATTGCTTCAATTTTAGATTTGGTTGGGCGTACTCCATTCTTGTCGATGACATGCCCTAAATATTGGATTTCTGGTTGTAGGAATGAGCATTTTTTAAGGTTTACTTTTAGTCCAGCTTCTGTAAGTTTCGTGAACACAGTAGACAATGTCTGTAGATGTGTGGAATCGTCTTTTCCGGTCACTGCAATATCGTCGAAATAAACCGCTACGTTTGATACACCGTCCAACAGTTTATCCAGGAAATGTTGAAATACTGCTGGGGCTGTTGTGATACCAAAAGGCATCCTATTGTATTCAAAATACCCTTTGTGTGTGGATATTGTCGTATATTTTTTCGACTCTGGTGCTACTTCAAACTGTAAATAAGCATCTTTTAAGTCTATTTTTGAATATTTGTCGCCGTATGCTAGTTGCCGTCGAAGTTGGTCGAAAAGTGGTACTGGGTGGGTATAGTTGATCAGGACAGGATTTATTGTAATACGATAATCACCGCAAATCCTTATTTGTCCGTTTGGTTTAACGACGTTCACTGTGGGTGTTGCCCATTCTACTGGTGTGCGCAGGAATACTAAAAATCAAACCTTGTAAGTTAAACATTATATTTTTTCTACGGCTATTGCATATTAAAAATTAGTCAAAATGAGAAAATGCTGTTTTGTATATTAACCTCAGAAAAAAGTATTTTAAAGCTTCTTTCTTCAGGAAAATTAATTAATCTACCCGTCACAGTTAGCTCACTATCATCACTTCATAATTCCCCGGTTAAGCGAATCTAGCGGATAGAGAAATTGCGAAGAGGAGGAGAAATCAGGGCGTAGAATATACATCGTCAACAAAAAAAAAATTGTAAAGGGAAAAAAAATGGGACCACTATGCGCTGAAACCTGCAATTTTAAGTAACAAACCAAAATTGGGCTAGGCGAGAGGCAACAATTATTTGATAGTTATTGGAACCTTGGAAATTTTGATACACAGCGTAATTTTCTTCTTAAATGCATGGAAAAAGGTCCCAGCGGTAAGATTCACAAACAAAAATAGACCAAGACTAATAAACAACTCTTTTCATTTTTATATCGCTGATGAAAAAAAAAAGGATCTGCAAACGGTTCTTCATGAACACTTTAGGTATAAGCGATAGACCCATCAGAACGGTTTTGAAAAAAAAAAACAAAAAAAATGGGATTTTTGGAATCGGAGAAAAGAGGAAAATATGGCAACCAGTATCAAGTCGATAGTAGGATCAAACACTCAGGAATTTTGTCAATGCCATTCCACGCATGGAGAGTCATCACCTTAGAGCGCAAACATCGCATGAATATATTAAAGAAGGCAGAATCCTCGCTGAACTTCACCGAGACTATAAAAAACAGCAAAATGAGAAAGGAGAGTCATCTGCAAATCTTGTGATGTTCTAAAAAAATTTTTAACGAAGAATTTAACATTATACTTTTTTTCCCAAAAAAGACTTATGCAACTTGTGCGAGGCTTTCAGGAACTCGCCAGATGGATCCTACACTGACAAGAAGGTATGAATCAATATGAAAAAGTTTTAAGCAGGATAAGTAAAGACTTGCACAAAGATAACGCACATGAAAAAACATCATACATTGTCTGCTGTTTCGACTTACAAGCTGTGATGTCATTCCCTTGCGGCAATATTTCATTGTTTTATTACAAGTCTAAGGTTAACTGCTACAATTTTATTATAACCAACATTTTAAATGATTAGACGAAATGTTATTTTTGGCATCAAGGAGAACGAAATAGCATTCTGCATCTTAAAATAAATAATAAAAATTAGAAGTTGTGTTTTACAGTGCCAATTGCTGTTTATCACTTAAAAATAAGATGTATCACCCACAAATTTCTAATCTACGGTCATACGCAGAACGAAAGCGACGCTGCTCATTCTGTGATTAAAAAAGCTGTGAAGGAAACTCTGAAGAGAGGGCCAATATTTTTACCGCAACAATATGCAACAATTATCAGAGTACCCTATGAAGTGTCAGAATTATGCTACAGTGATTTTTATGACTTAAAGAACCTTCAGACGCAGCTAGGCAACAACTTCGTTAGAGCCATAAATGAAGAAAAAGTTTTATGTTCACACATAAAAGTTGTAAAATATGAAAAGTTCAAACCCTTTTCCATTCAAGTGAAAACCTCCTTTGAGAGTGAAGATTTTCATGAGAGAGTTACAACAAAGAGAACAAGAAAAAATGAATTGGTTCTGGTTCCGGTCTACACAACTAAGATAAGAACTGATCCAAGAATTGTGATTCCTAAGTCCTACCTCCCTGTGTATCGAGCTGTGTTAGATTTCGAGAATGGAATGTAACTTCATCAAAAATACTCATTTTATTTTTCAATTTATTGTTCGATTTTTTAGGTTTCCTTTCTCTTACAATCTGAAATTTAATTAATTTTTTGTTTTACATTTTCTTATATTGTTCATTGATTTAAACATTAACGAGTCTTAACTTATTCAAATAAGGAATTTACATCAACAGTACTGCCATATCACATAACATTTTTTGTTTAAGGCTATCTGTGTAGATTTCACATTACATTACATTACATACATCATTAGTTAATAAAGACATCTTCAGTCAATATGTATACCGAATTTGGTAGGCGCAAGTACTGAAAATGTTGTTAAAAAAATATTACATCCACAATCGTTTTTGTTTCGCTTCTCCTGTAAAATTAAAATTTATAAAGTTATGGCACTATTGACGCAGGGGTGCGATATGACAAAAACTTGCTGGAGTTTGTACGGATAGTACTGCTGCTATGCTTGGTTATATCTGTCTACGTAAGCATATGGAAAACTTTTTTATTATTAATATTAGGAAAAAAGTTATTCCACATAAAAAGTCGAACATGGTCTAAAACCTTAAATACAACCATCAGATATCAAATTGTATGTTATACGAGGTTCAGAAAAATTCATATTTTTTGACAAACGTCATACACGGTTAAACGAAAAATGATATTTGATGGTTGCATTTTATGTTTTGTCTCCAATTAAATTAAATCGAAACTTTTATTCTAAAAGTTCTGCGTGGTCCAAAACGTTGAATGCAACCATCAGATGTCATTTCTTTTGACCACATATGACGTTTGTCATATATATTAGAGTCCATTTGCTTGATTTTTTTTTTTCAGTTGACATGGGAGAAAAATTGGGCAAATTTCTTTTGCTTACGTGGAAAATCTGGGTCCTCCAATACAGAAGACCTTTACAGACCCTAGTGCCAATTTTGTTACTGGCTATATTTTCAGGGCTATTGGTAGTCCTTAGAGGCCAGGCGGAACCTGTATTAAAAAATGAAAAAATATTTTCGCCATTTTGTACTTTCCCAATCGCACTTAACCTTAAAACCGCATCAGGAGAAATTCTGTGTCCAAGTATTGATAATATTCCGTCACCATCAATTAGTCCGACGTAATTGGAAAATCACCATTGTAAGTATTTATTTGTTGGAAAAACAATCCACCCAATTTTATTTTAATAATATTAAATTTATTTTCAGAACAATTGTCTATTCTCCCAGTAATTCCAGCTTCGATACAGCCATGGAATTATTAAAACATGTATTTCAAAATGTGATCGGATTGCAGAATGCTAGAGAACTTCAAAAGTATGCAATTAATACTAACACTACCTTTATCGGCATAGAATTTCTTGATAAATATGGTGGTATTATAGATTGGACCAGCGTGCAAGATTTAAGTATAGGGGTAAGGTTAGTATAACATTCAAAGGGTGACTCAGAAGAAGAACAGTACATAATTTGTTGTGTTGTCAACTATGAAGGTTTAGGAACATTACTGCCATTTATTTTTAATATTTTATTTAGAAAAACGTACTGAAAATAAACATGAATATTGCTCACTATATAGGTATATTCAGTAGCGGCTTGTGATAATTTAAAATGGGTGTTTAATTTTTTCCAATAATTTTAACATTTGTAAGTTCGGTTCATAACTTTGTAGAAGCGCCAATATCGCTATTCAATTTTTTGTGTGTCTGTGAATTATAACATTTTTTTAAGGTTATGAGGTTATTGTATTATGTATTTATGGGTTTATGGGGTTATAGGGTTATGTATTTGTAGTTTACAGCTTGGCTTTTGCTTTTAAAGTTTGAGTTATAGGCTTATATGCATTAAAAAGTGCTGAAATGCCTCAACTATTGTGTTTTTTAAGATTATTGCAGAACATTGACGTGGTAGGGTTAAACGGGCCCCGGATTTGAATTCAGCGACCCCAAAAACATATAGAAAACATGCAGGGCCTCCGACAGCCAGACCGGGCATCAGGACAATTCTCCAGATCGGGCCCCGCGACAATTTTATAAAAAATTATATAACAAAAGGTCTTCAATCAAAAATTTCTCCTCCTCTACTTGAATTTTACTAAAAAAAAAATGTCTTCAACTAAAAACTTCCCCCCTCTTCTGTCGAACTTCTGAAAGGAACAAACACCACCGCTGCCAGGCCCCGGCTGCCCCCCCTCGAGTCGGCCCTGAAAACATGGTATGATCCATAGACCCAAAAAAGATTATAGCGTTTTTAAGGTATTGTATTATAGGGTTCTAAAACAAAACAAGGCTCAGGATGTGGACTATATTCCAGATTATTAAACCTAAACATAAAATGGGCTGTGAGCAATAATGCCAGTGTAGTTCAAACAGACCTAACGGGGATTTTCATAGCAGCCAAAGAAATAACCAGAAACAATATCACTGAAAGAAATATGCTCATCTATACAGATAGCAGGCAAGCACTACTCACCCTGAGCAGACCATGAATTTACTTAGGGTTAGTACTAGAATGTCACGAAGCTTTGTCCGAAGTATCCATCAACAATGTGGTGACCTTAAGATAGATCAAAGGTCACGCCACATCGAAAGGTAACCGTCTTGCTTCACTAGCCAAGAAAGCAGCCAACCAAATACTTTTTGGACCTGGCCATTCTTTTGGCCTGACAAAATCTGTAGTGACAGACCTAATTAAACAACATTCCCTTGTGAAATTCAAGGAAAGATGGGATAAAATAAGAAACTGCAGAGTTGCCAGTGAGCTCCTATGTTATCCCGACAACATTACTGCAAACAAATTCTTGACTATGACTAGACAGAATCTGCGCCTAGTCACAGGCATTCTGACTGGTCACTGCCAAGTACGGAAGCATCTCCATATCATGGGGTTTTCAGAATCCGCACTCTGCAGAGGGTGCGAACAAGAAGATCATCAAGCATATCCTTTGCGATTGCTCGACGCTCTCATTTATTAGAAGATTTGTGTTCGACGAGTATCGGTTAACACCGGCCTATATAAGAGAAGCACCTCATGGCGAAGTTGTCAACTATATTAAATCTGTAGGCTGGCTTACGAGCTAGGAGATGCCTATCTTCTTAGAAGGATGCACAATGCTGTAAAGGTAACCCACCCTCCACACGTTACAGATACAGATGCTCTTTTGACCTTGTTTTATAAATGCGAGTTTCTTGCTAACCTGCTGTCAAAGGTGAGACCTAGATACATCTGTTGCAAAGTTTAGTTTTAGGTTCTGGAGGTTTTAATTCCATTTTTATTATTTTTCTTGTGAAAAGAACCATTTTTGTCTTCTTCAAGGCCGATTCTTACTCTATTTCAAGTCACGCACCACTCAAGGAACGATGCAATGTTGTGACATATTATTTAAATGGAAATATTTGTATTTGGTGTTTTGATCACGGTATGCTTATAATCTTTGACAGCGGTTTTCTCCGTGCGGATATTTTGAACGAACCATGAGTGGACCTTTGTGTCAGTTTATATAAACTACAATTAGGCGGCGTTTGTTTTTGCTATGCTTGTGTTAAGAGCAAGATGGATGAATAACTTATTGAATTAGTTCGAAATACCAAAGATCTGATAACTTAGGCTATAACCTATACTTTGACCTGGCATAGAATATTGAGTAAAATGAGCCCCAGCTGAGTGTAACATGTGAATACTACCTCACATTCTTGATTGTGAACGGATTGTGAGCATATTGTGACCTGAGCACCTAGTCAGAATCGACCTTGAAGATTGATAGAGAGTGAATGCTCCTTGCACCACTGTACTATAATTTTAAGAGTAACTTGTATTCTTTTGCAGAATTACCAGGTCATCTGCATATGATATTGTGTAGGGACTGTAATTATTGAGGCGGCTGATAAGGGTGTCGAGGACCATGTTCCACAGTAGAGGTGATAGCACCTCTCCTTGTGGACATCTCTTCGCAACCAAGCCTCTTATAATCACATCTTTTACACTTATGTTTACTGCTCGCTTTGAGAACATGTTATGTATTCACCCACTAACCATTTGTAAGACATTCCTATTGGTTAGTGAGTGTATTATTTTGGGAAACGGTTTTATCAAAAGCATCTTCTATGTCTATAAAAATACCCAAGGGGCACTCTTTATTGTCCAGGGATCTCTCTATCTGGCCAGCAACTAGATGAAGGGCTGAATCAGTAGATCTGCCTGGGCTGTATGCATGTTGGTTTAGGTGTAGTGGTGTTGGTGTAATCACCGCTTCGCTTATGTAACTTTCACATTGCTTTTCCAATCTCTTCATGGAAAACGATGTCAGACTAATTAATCGGTATATTTTTGGGACAGTGTAATTTATCCTTATTGGTTTGGGTATGAAGACCACTTTTATCTCTCTCCATTTTTTGGGGATATATCTCACAGCTAACTGGGATCTGAATATGACCACCAGGTGCGTTGTGAGTTCTTCTGGAGCTCACTGAAGTAGGGTTGGATAGATACCATCATGTCCTGGCGATTTAAATGGAGAAAAGCTGGGCTATTGTCTATCCAATTTTGTCATCGTCTACAATGTGTTTGGCGTTTGCCAATCATAGACAGATGGGTTGTGTTCTGCCTCTGTCCAGTCAGTCATGTCTGTGTTGACAGCAGAAGTTTGATTCTATCTTCGAGGAAATACCCGAAAAATTTAACTGAAAATTCGTATAATTTGGTGGGCTTCTGGCAAAAAATACAATTTAGACCAAGTTAAATATAATTTAATGAACTAAATTTAATTAATTTATACTAATAAAAAGTAACTAATGTCAATAATAAACGAACCCAAAAATTAAAAAAACTTGTGTGTCCACTTTCCTGTCTAGTTATTATAGGCTTTTCCAGTTATTTCGTCCAACATATTGTTTGTAATACCCCTGCAAATGTTTAGAGGATAAAGCAAATACATATTATCATTGCTAACGAAAATAGCAAAAATTTTAATTTTACACGTTTCCTCAAAGTTTTTCATTACCGTCCGTTTTAGAGAAATTATGCATAAAACAAAAATTATAGAGAATTGTACCGCAAACCTCTTTTATTTAAAAAAAATTATGTCCAATCGTAAATAACAGAGATATTTCTTAAAGTATAAAGACGACACCCTATAAAGTGCCCCCAAGATGCTTCGACTACGCCCAAAATTTATATTCAAAATTCAAAATTTGCAACTTTTCCTCAAATATCTCGAATACCGTCCATTTTAGGGAAATCATGCATAGGACCAAAATTATAGAGGTTGACATTACTTTTATTTAAACAATTTTCTTAAAAATTTGAATTTCGCTGTTTGCCCAATTTTTTGAATACGGGCCATTTTTTTGGAATTATTTAAAAAATGTATGTTTTTGTGTGGTACTGATTTTGAGAATTTTATTTTCGTTTGAGTAGTTGCATAACCTCTATGGTTCCTCTGAAATTTTTACACGGAATACTGTACCAAATAAAAAATTTAAATAACACAGATAGTTTTTTCACTGTTTCAGATGATAATTTTCTGGTACTAGGGACAATTTTAGATAGCTTATGGGAACTACATTAGAACTAAAAGAATATATTAACAATGAATCAGGTGTTGCGTGAGCAAGTACAGAATATAAAAAGGGGGCGTAAAATACGATAGTTTGCGAACCACTGCTCTAATAGTTTATTCCAATTGAAAATGGTTATTTTTAAATTCAGGTAGGCGGAAAAAGTATAAAGAGGCAACTAAAGAAAGTGCATCGCAACATCGGCTACTGTCCACAATTCGACGCTCTACTGGACGATATGACGACCAAAGAAATCATCATCATGTACTGTTTGCTGAGAGGCATAGAACTGAAGCGAACCTATATAATTGCTGATTACTTATCGAAGAAGTTCGATTTCCACAGACATCTGAATAAGAAAGTGAAAGAATTAAGCGGTGGCAATAAGAGAAAATTAAGTACTGTCCTATCTTTGATAGGAGATCCGCCTGTTTTATTTCTGGATGAGCCGACTACAGGTAAATAACTATTTTCTAATTTTGATACACAGTGTCGGCTATTGAACGATTTCCAATACGCTTTACTAATATCAAAGTGAAAACTATAAGAGTTAGCATTAATGGGAGTAAGAAATGAATAATATCAACGTAGTCAATCAGTCGCGTTGGGATATTTCTCATTGTGTGCCTAATCACATCACTAATGCCAACTCTTTCACTTTGACATTAGCACTGTATAATGTGGCATACCTTTGTACTTGCATCAAGTGTCAAAATTATTTAATTCATGTTATTATTAAACAATAATGAAAAGTTCATTATTATTCTGTCAAGAGTAAATCTACTATTTCTTTAAAGAACTTCCGCACCTCATGTTAGAACTAAATATTCTAAAAAATAAATCGTCTCAATGTATTTGTACTAGAGAGTCCAACGAGCGAAGCCTCATTTTGCAACTTTTTACATAAATAACTGCTTCATTTATCTGTAAATATCTTGTATCTACTCTTCTTTGCAGGAATGGACCCAGTCGCTAAGCGTTATGTATGGGACACATTATGTAAACTTCGTACCCTCGGTAAAACCATAGTCCTAACTTCTCTCAGCATGGAAGAATGCGAAGCCCTTTGTACCAAACTCGCAATTATGGTCAACGGTAACTTCAAGTATCTGAGCTCCACCCAGCACCTCAAAAGCAAGTTTACAAAAGGTTATATGTTGACTATTAAGGTCAGAAAATTGCCAAAAAGTGCAGGTCAACAGCATACAGACATTCGACAGATTGAGACGTTTATTTATTCAAGAGAATTTCCCGGGAGCCCAGTTAAAGGAAAGGCACCAGGAGCTGCTGAATTACTATATCGTTGACAAATCGAAAACTTGGTCCACTATGTTTGGTATTTTAGAGCGTGGAAAGAAGAAGAGTGAGTTAAATATTGAGGATTATTCATTGAGACAAAACAATCTTGAACAGGTATGTAGAATGTTTATTTTAGTTTAATTTAGGTTCTATTAATTTTGATATCAGAAATTTGATACCTCGCAAAAATATGTAAATCTTCTTAACAAAAAATTAACGATAATTTTTTTTTCAAAAGGAAACAAATTGGTTCTGTTCACAAATAAGGAGGTGCTCAAAACTCATAAAAGATGTTAGGAAAAACCATTAATTGGAGAAGCTTACAATTTGGGACACTTAAAAGAAGTAATAGGCAAAAATTCCGACTACGTACCAATAAATATTCCCAGGCCAGATATTTTAAAAACGAATAGAAATGTTTTAATTCTGTAGAAGCTAATTTACAAAGCACTAATAGATTTTCAGTTTTAGATATAATATGTCAATATGTAGAGGCGCAGCGCTGAACAATTTTTTTATGGGAAAATTATCAAAATCTATTACATCTTGTAGTATAGTATATTACATTACGAGTGTGGAAAGTGACATTTTTCACACGAGTGGGAAATATTGTCGCACGAGGCGTAAGCCGAGTGCGACTATCACACGAGTGTGGAAAATCACTTTTCACACAAGTGATGTACAATATTTTTCCTACGACCACAAAATAATTTCATCAAAAAATGTAAAACCAGATTATTATAATAATTAAAATGTATTTAAAAAAATAATCAACAAAAATCGTATTTATTAAATTTTCATAATTTCTAAACAAATAAAAAAAAATAAAAAAAAAAAATTAAAAAAAAAATCTGGCACAGCCAGGATTCGATCGCGGTCGTTGGACTGTCTCAAATTGCAAAGTTGATGCTCTAACCAACTGAGCTAACAGGCCTTACGGTAATTGATTGATCTAATCGCTTATGTGTTTAACCAGAATAAAAAGCAAATATATCTTAGTTATTTTAAAATTATTTTAAAAATAATTGTTAAAGATAAATATCTAGGATCTAATTTACAATAATTTAACAATCATATCGATTTTAGTATTAATATGGACATTACATAGATCAAAATAGAAATTATGTGTTTGACATTTTCTGACAGCTACTGCGGAAAGTAGCATATTCTCACTTGGGTGGAAAGTAAATTCTTATTCATACGCGTGTGATATAGGGCACTTTCCATAGGTCTATATAGTGTGATATGTGTCACTTTCCTAAGTGGTCGTAGGAAAAATTCATTTTAAGATCTTGTTCTAAGAACTAATTTGATAAATCTAGCCAAAGTAGTCATTTTTATTTGAAATATCTTTAAATTATTTTTCTGTTTACATGTTCGGTCATGTAAAGTATTTTTTTATTTAAAATTTTTAAAATACTTATTGTTTGATAATTTTTTAACCACGGAGGATCCCCTTTTTTATATAGTGGTTTAACTACAGCTTATTTTAGTTAAGTGGAAAATACTCCAACTTTGATAGAGTTTTGATAAGATATCCTAAAACTTCACAAATGAAATTAACAGTTTTCTTAATAATTATATATGATTTCCTCTCCAACTCTACAACGTTGGTTAGGGAGTCTAGAGAAATGTTATAAGGAATGTAACAATTAATTGGTATATAGTTAACTTTTAAAATTAATTTTTGAAACAAAAGATGTTATATTTATTAGAAATTTTTTATGGGTTACCTTGTATATTACAACTTTAATAGGACTGCAATCTTTTATTTTAAAGAAGGTATCTGGTAATGAATTTCTTTAAAGTGCTGGGGTACAACACCTTGCAGTTTCGTGCAGACATTGTGGATTCAAAGCCACATGTTACTGAATATTATGTTTATTGCACCATAAATCTTTCACAGTTTTAACAAAACATATCACAACAACATTGTCTAACATTGCGTTTTTATTAAATTAAATAAAATGAGATCTGCATTTGTACAAGTTATGCAACGATCTAAAGCAGAAATGCAGAAAAATACCCGCTTTGCTCATTTGTGACGTCATCTAACCAATTATCTTTTACAGCCTCCGCGCCTCTCTGTATTTCATTTTTTGATTGACTTAAGACTATAACAGCCTTGTTTGACATTGTTTTTTGTTGAGAATGATGCAAATGTCATTGTTGATTCTCGGAATTTATTATGCAGGGTTTGCCTCATGAATTGATGTAAAATTTTATATGCATTTCCAACACTCTTTGTATATTACATATTCTAATATGGAATTTCATTTATTAAATATTTAGGGATGTACATTAAAAGATGCTTTTTCTACACCCGTATTATAATAATGCACTTATATGCCCATAATCCGTTTCATAATGATACCCATTATGATACAGATTTTTCATTACGATACAGATTTTTAATCAATAGAAACCTACAATTTTTCAATCAAGCATGCTGTTTGACGTTTGTCCTAGGTTCCTATGTAATTATTTTAGTTGTCAAAACGTATTAAATTTTCGTAGGTAGCTAAACTTCGATAATTATAATATTAAAATGTCTGATATTAGCGATATAGAAGACTCCTCCACACATATCGGAGAAAGCAGAAAATACAGTACAAAATATTTTACCGCAAAAATCTAGGGAAATACCAATACCTGAAGTAATACCATTAATTACAATTTTGTAGAATTTTTTATAGAAATACGAGTAATTACTGTTATTGTGTTCAATACCAATATAAATATAATATTTATAGGTCTTGATTATTTATCGGGTGTAGAAAAAATAGCGTATGCAACTCTCATGTAATGGTTATTAAAACACTCGCATAAACCATACGAAACTCGCCTTTGGCTCGTTTCGTATCCCGGTTAATGCTCGTGTATTAATAACCATCATTACATGATCGTTGCATAATATACTATTTGTGGATTAGGCTTATAAGTGTGTGTATAATAATAATATTTGTTCTAGGTATACTTGACATTTGCAAAGCACCAAGTTGAAGAATGGTAAATGTGTTACATCTGGAAAATATCCAAAGATCCTGGAGAAAGTTGAATAAATAGGAAAATCCTATTTTAATTTTAAGATGTAGAATAAGCAAATCCATATACAGTGTGTTCCAAAAGTATTTCACTAAATTGTGGAGGTTTATTTAAAAATTTTAATTAACATTTATATGAAATAAACCAAATATTTTTTTTTTCAGGTTTAACTCATCAAAAATATCAGTGACCTATCAAATCTTTATAAAAAATACAAAATTTCTGTAAAGTTGTCACTAGTCAATTAAAAGAAGATATTTATTTGTTTTTTGATTTATGCCTACCTGTCATCCTTAAAAAAATAAAGAAGTAAAATCGTTCAAGAAATATTACGACGTACGACGTACGACGTACGACCGACATACGACATACAACTTTTTTTACACACTATTAGGCATTCTACTCTAAATGGCTACCAGTGGGTTTTGACAGGTTATGATATGGCAAAAATATGGCAACCCTGTAGGCCTGGTGATTTAACAAGGTCATTGGAATAGATATTTACATAGATTGATAATCCATATTTTTAAAAATAAACATTTATGTAAGTTATCATTTTTGTTTACTATATGTATCACTGACCCTGTCAATGATAACATGAACAGGGTTGCCATATCTAAACTGTCATTACCCACTGGTAGCCATTTGGACAGGTCGTTGGAATGCCCAATTATCGTTTGAAAATATATTATTTGTTAATAATAAATGTAAATAATGTAAAAAGAAAATGGAAAATGGAATGAAAAATAAAAAATTAAACATTAATATACCAGTATAATGTAAAGAAATTTGCTGCATAGCTGTCTTTGAGAAACCATGAAAAAGATTGGCGTCTTGTGCTCTATGCTATTGCTTTTTATGCCAGGATAAAAATACAGCAATATATGAACTAATACTTATTTTATTTATCTAAATCTTATATTATTAAATAAGTATTAAATCAAATTTGGCAAGAAGTTGCACGAATACATAGACATGTCCGGTGTGGATTCCCCTAAATTGGATTGCTCTTCGGCTTTTTTTTCATAATTCTTTTTGATGGCTTGGATTTCCGATGCACGGCCCGAGGTCCAATATTCGTACATATTCGGTAAGTAACCGACAGGCGCGTCTGCTTCTTGTCTGAAAAAGTAAAAAGTAATACGTCTAATATTCATGGTTAATGTATCCATAAAATGGTCATTTAAAAATATTTTTTGTTTGCATCTTTGTCCTGTCATTAACGACATTGACTATCAATAAGTGGGTGAAGTTGATTTTAAAGAATTAAGTTGGAACTGTGACTAGCAGTACATCAGATGTACGCGCTTTATTTGTACATCGGTCTCCTTTTGACAGAGTAGGTGAGCTGTCTCCAGGCCGTTGGTGTTTATGCCGGTCGGCGTGGCCAGGCATGGATTGAAATTTTCTACTAGAACTCGTTGCTTCTTCTTCTTGTTGTCACGGCATTATTATTAATATTTGTTCATGTATGTGAAATTTGCTTCTGAGGTTTATAAAATACTACAGAAAAACACTTAAGTCTTCCACTCCATCATCTGAAATAAAATTAGGTTAGAATTATGATGTAAAAATAATGGGGGATACATCCGATGTACAAATAATTCGTGTACATCCGATGTACTGCTAGTCACGGTGAATATTTTTATATTCAACTTTGGAAATTTCCAATCAATCGTTCGCGCGAAAAGCCAGCAAATAGCGATGTAAACAAAAACATAACCCTGTATTTTATTCTAATCCAAATCGTTGCGGTTTGTGGCTTACACATAAGTGGGCACTAACGATAACGCCCGGGTAGAGTCGTAAAACAGCTATGTCATTTATAGTTATCAATATTGTCCAATTTAAGCGGATGTTTACGTTATTGGCCGGTTATTATCATATATGTCCAATCAAATAGGAGATTTACGACAATCACCGGCCAATATCGATAAAGACCGAAATATCTTTGACCGTAACATATATACAGATTCGGAATTATTAATTAATCATATAAGCCAGATGTATTAGGGACAAGCATAAATAGAAGTGAGGTGGATGTCGTGAGTACCGTGCGCGAGGCCATATACTAGGTAATGCGCAGCTAAGCAGCCTTTGTTTCACGCGTGATCCTATTATACCTTGTTCAGTTCATTGTAAAATAGGGGGTCCACGCTTAGAATTATAAATCTGTATATATTTGAGCGGCTCGGTATCGTCCTTGCCCAAGCCACAATGTTTAAATTTTGCCGGTAGGTAACAATCAAGCAATCATCAAAATACATAATTCTTTCAGTGCCAAAGTTATTAGTCTATATTTTAAACTATACCGGGCTAGCACATTAGAAATTGACAAATTCCGCACTGCAAGATTTATGTGTTTTTATAAAAATACGTACAATACCAAATTTGTGGTTTGGACATTCAGTTTATAGTAATAATCTTGAAATAATTAAAAACGGAATATTAGAATTAGGATAAACATAATTTGCTATTTTGCTATTTAGGTCACAAACCTTAGGTGTTTAATAATTTGAGGTAGTTTACTGTATACAATGTCTTGTATATCCAGGAAGGGTTGACTCACAATACTTAGACCACCCTGAATCCATTATGAATTCTCCTCAATTAATAATACCTCCCTTAGCTCACAAATCTTCTATCGTTGATGACGTAGTCAAGATATGTGTCTTTGTTATGCTGGCTGGTGTTAGGTTATACTAAAAATAGTAATTTTCTGGTAGGTGAGAGCCTCGGGAGATCAAAGGATATTCTCGTCTCATGTTCTTGTTTACCATCTCTTGCAGAATACGCAGTCTGTCAGGACAATGCTAAGGAGATGCTTCCATACTAAGAAATTACCATCCAAAAGTCTTGTGAACAGGCGCAGATTCTGTTTGGTCATAGTCAAGTGTTTGTGCGCTAATGTATTGTTAAAAGATTCTTAGCTACTCTGCATCTTCTTGTTTTATCTCACATATTCTTGTATTTAAGGGAAAGCTCTTTAATTGAGTTTATTATGGCCGATGTCCAATAGAAAGGCCAGATCAAAAAAGTAGTTGTTTGACTAGTGAATCATATAAAGACTTATACAAGCGACGAAGGCGACTCTGTAGGTACTACTAACTAACTTGTGGTTCGACACAATATTCCTTTTGGCTACAGTGTTATCAAAGAGACTAAGACAGATATGTCTAGAAAATAAAAATTTAAATTTGCTTACCTGTATTTGTTTAAAATCAGTTCTCCTTCCGAGACAGTAGCGACACGTTTCGTTTCGCCATTATAATTATAAACCACGTACGTATAAGGATCGAAATATCCATCGCTGGTATCGTAACATCCCTCGGGAATCTCGTGCTTCGGATGAGCCAGTTCCAGTTCGTTACATATCAGCATATCGTTCTCGTCTGTTTCGTTATCTTCAACGCGTACCGGAAACACCAGGAACTCGTCCTCTTTGAACTCGATGTCACCATGTTCACCCGTTTTGAACGTGCTCGACATCAGTTTCCCTTTGTACCATTTACCTTCGAGTTTTTGACCTCTTGGGTAAGTTAAAACACCTACAATTCAAAATGAGACTGCTATATTTAGTTTAATTCTCATTTGCATTCATGCATTTGCAGCTGTATAAAAAGTAGATTACTTTAAGGACATTTGTATGGTATATTTTCTCACCTTGTCCATGAAACTGGCCATCTAAGAATTCTCCTTCATAAACAACTCCATGAGGGTATTTATAAACACCTCGTCCAGAAAAACCTACAATAATATAAATGCAGTAGTTTTACTAACTAATGAACTTGTCTTGTAGTCTAACAAATATAAGTAGGTGTGTAGATTATCTTCTAAGTTGATGAAACGAAAAAAAAAATGTATTACAGATAGTAATCAAAAAATTAATAATTTTCATTGATCTCAGATTACGTACACCCACCGATCATTTCTACTTAGATGAACTAAGATATAAAAAACCAGGCACTTGTCTTGTGTAAATAAAAATAGTCCTTTGTCAAATTTCCTGGATCGTTTATATATTAACTTGATGCTCTAATAGATGGTACAATTGACGACCGAAATGTGGAACCCAAAATTAAATAAAATATATAATTTTTCAAACTTTCCACATAATTTATTTTATGCTCTAAAGTTGAGGGCTACAGCAAAATTGGAAGAAAATCAGTGTTTAAATTAAGTTAAGAGTGGGCCAGAGTCACCTTAAAATGTTGAAAAACGATTACATGCAATGTATAATACTTTTATATAAGCCTAAGCAAGCTATTTTGATTAATATTTTTAGTGCGAACCGTCTAACTTGATAGTTTTTGCGCAGAACGAAATATTTTTATTAAATATTTGAGGTAAACTAAAGGTAACAAAAATATTAACTTACAACACTAATGTAGGAAGGTCCTGATAAGACTTAAAAAGCTCGAACTAGTGTTATCAATTACCATTTGCGTTTAAAGAGATGCGTTCAATAGTTCATGAATCAATCTTTACTTTAAATACTTTTTCACAGGTGCTATGTAATAATAAAAGTTGAATGAACAATATTGCAAATTTTACATTTATGAAAATCAGAAAACTTTACTTAACTTTATAAAACCTTAAGAAAAGAAACTAATCAGAATCACAGACGAAGAATCTAAAACCGCATTTGTTGAATGTGCCTCTAAAAGTCTTAGGGTTTTTGGAGAAAACATTTCGTCTTGACTACAGTTTTTCTTCTTAGGGTTATTACTGAATAAATTAGAAAAATGTCTGTTTGTTAAATTTCTGTCGCTTTGCGTAAGTTATGCTTCCTAAACCTTCGATATTCTTTACTGCGTGCCTCTTGCGCTTCTTCATAAAGCTGGCCGATGGGAATAGGTGAAGCATTTATAATTGCAGGCCCATGCAAAAGATTTTTTTGGACGCTCACAGGCATTCTATAACAACGGTAAGAAATATGCACTTTTTAGCGATATCTAAACAATAATTATTTTGAATTAATATTGAAACCACCTGAAAGATCAGGTAAAATTTGTATATTAGCTTTCTTCCAATCCAGTAATTTTTCGGAAAAAACCCTGGCACAATTCACATCATTTGAACTATACCAGCTGTCATGAGGTCTGGTGAGGAGGATCACCTTACCTTTTTGCAGGCTCCACTATGCTATGATTCTGTAATTCTATGTTTTACAAGCTGTCTGCTTTGGGTTAACGATAGAAGATAGAAAGAAACTGGCACATCTGCATTTAACACTGTTTATTTTTACATGAAGAACACCACACTACATTTAATTAATTATTTACACATATCGTACTTAGAACATTTATAATTTGGTCGCCATTACAGATTGGGTTCATACCCAATTGTCGATGTGTCTGTTATGATGGGTGAGACAAGTCTGAAGATCACCTTGCCGTCGTCGGCGTGGTTTAAAAGCGTTACGGCTCTCGCATTAATTTTTGCGCAATTATATTACCAATTGTTTTTCTTTGTCCAGTCATTATTATCGATTTTAAATTCGTGCATCTGTATTGGATAACAACCGCGCTAGTTGTTTTTACTTTATTGACTTTGTCAACTTTGCTCTGAATTGATACTCAAGTAAATGTTACAGGGGCGGTCTAGAGTCATTTCCGCAATTCTGATATTTTTGTTAAGTGTATTCTTAACATCAGTTTATTGCTTTGGTTGGTCGACTATAATCCCCAGTTGTTTTTTAAATTTAGATTGAACATGTTGCTTTATAATAGATTTTTCGTCTTCACCGCGAGCCTGCCATTTCTTTACTGGTAGTCGGTAACAGACTTTAAGACAGAGGACCTAATTTTATTAGATCCGTCAATCTACCATTTGACCAACCTGGGCTCTCTTATAGCAAATAGTGTAACTTTATGTAAACCATTAGATATCTTTACCAAAACTTTAAAAATAGTATTTAGATGTAATATTGTCAATATATTTCCGCATCCCTAAACATAAACAAAAACTAAGGGTGTGCTAAGAAATTATAAACTTACCTGCATAAATGTCACCAATCCAAAAACTTTTAAAATGAAGCACTGTTTTAGATATTTTACAAAACTTTAGGACACCTTTAGAAAAAGAACTGGAGACACCGACTCAACAAAAGGCATGTCAAAGTTTGCAGTGTATCAAGTGTATCCAAGGCAACCGATGAAAGTGATTCTACTGTTTAAGAATGCTCTGGAGTCAGCCTACTTAAATATCTTTTAAAATGAATTGCTAGTTTGTCATTTGTGAATTTTTCAATATTTTAAGGGAGTTTTGATCCACTCGGTGGAAAGAAGAACAAAGATTTAAAAGTTGTTTCAGACAAGGTGTAGGAACAATGAATATAAAAATATTTCTCTCATATAATATATCCGTCAAAATCATTTTGAAATCGATTTGAAAACACGAGAAGAAATATTTTCAAGATCTTTTAGGACAGCTCAAATGCGTTTAAAACAAGCTGGATTAAAAAACTGCACTGCAGCTCGCAAAGTTTTTAAATTGCGGAAAATAAGAGTCTGGTTTGTAAATGGATTTTTAACTCACGGGGAAAAATATTGGAACAGCATGTTATTCTCAAATTAAAAAGTCGTTTCAATCTTCTAACAGCGGAACAAAAGGGATAGGGATAGTTCTATAATTATTGAGAGCGACACTTTTAAGTAAAGAGACGATAAACTTCCAAGAGTTTCATCAAATTTTCTTCCATATTTGTCCATCAAAGAAGTAGAATAAGTGGTAAGGTACAAGCTCTACTATAAATAATTAACTCACCAAGACGATCCACCGATCCAACATAGGAGCTCCCTGTACGATAATAGGTCGTATTAATCTCCTTTCTTCCGTAACCTTCATGGAAGGGTATAGTGTTTAAGGTGCCCTTTTCTCTAATCTTTACAAATGGTTGCTGTGGCGTTACGTATTTAATCTGGGATTTTTTTTTCGGTTTGGGTTTACATAATTCTGCTAAACCAATAAGACTGGTGTCCATGTATAAATTGACAAAATAAAAAATGTGTAAGTTAGAAATATCTTTGACAAAAATGTTATCAACGTTACATTGACAAGTGCCAAAAGACTAAAGATAAATAAAATATAGATAAGTAACGGTCTGGTTTCGTTTGAAGCCTTTTCTCTACTACTTTCTCTTCCGCCTGGGGGGATACTTTATACAGTCTCGTTTTTATATTTTTTGGAATATGTCTGTAAGTTACATTTGGAGAAGAAAATTCGTTAAATCAAAGTTACTTCTAATATTATTCTCTATAATTTTTGTCAATTACAAAATTTTTCCAAAATAGTCCGTATTCGAGAAATTTTACAAAATGTAAAAAAAATCAGATTTTTTAGAAAATTGTTCAAATAAAAGTTGTTTGTTAAATTATTTTTTATAATTCCTGTTTTATAAATAATTTCTGTAAAATGAACCGTAATCGAGTTATTTGAGAAAATGTGTGAATTTAAAAGAAAACCTAAAAACAGAAAAAGAGAAAAACACCAAATTTTAAACTTTTATTTTAAACCTTTATTCTGGCCTGCAGTGAACTTATAAGATTTTTGGCAGAGTCAAAACATCTAGAGGGGTACTTTATATGGGGTCAGTTTGATATTTTATGGAATGTAACTGTTATTTATGTTTAGGGAAGAAAATCATGTAAATAAAAGTTACTTCTAATATTATTCTTTATAATTTTTGTTTTATACATTATTTCTCTAAAATGGAACATAATGGAAAAATTTGAGGAACAGTGTAAATTAAATCCAACAAACGTTTAGTAGCCGCTAACTAAATATTTACACCCACACGGACATTATACATTATATGTATATTCTAAGCACAGACTACAGAATCAAAAAGTAGGTTATTACATTCTGCTGAAAGAATATAATTTTATAATATTAATTTTAGAAAGAATACTGTACGGATATGAAATCCACCAATCACAGTTTATATTTGGTAATCGAGTTACTATTATTTTAAATAAAAAACATTTTTGCCAAACTAATTGTCACTATATTTTTTAGTTATTGAGAATAAATATAATTTAAAATGTGTTTTTGTGAAGAATCGATTTAAAAATAATAGCATTCCACAAGATATTCGTCTATGTTTACAAATAAATCGTAAATTTAACTTAAACCAATCCAATTATCAGTATTAAAAAAAATTGTTTATCTCGTTTGTGTAGAGATAAAGTAGTCAGTTTTCATGCGAAAGGTCTGGGGTTCAAATCTAGAACGAGGACTAATTAAAACATTTTTAAAATATTTATTTTATCGTAACCTCTATAGTAGTTTTTGCAACAAGAGTGGATATAATGGCCATATCCCACGAAGACAAAATTTGAGCACGACACCGTAGGCGGAGTGCTCGATCGTTGCGATGTGAACAATCCACTCGAGTTGTATAGTATATTTTTTCTACGACCCACTAACAAAAATTTACAAATAATATTTTAGGCTATTGACAAACTAACTAGTTTTAAAATAATTTATGACTTAATAAAATAAACGAAAAAAAAAAAACAAAGAAAAAAAGTTAATTTTATTTTTCCCCATCCGAGAAACGAGCTTCAGTCTTCCATGTGGAAGGGCATGAACGCTAACCACAGGACCACCTATCCTTTTATTTTTGTTGCTTTAATACTCGTAATTAAATTAACTTCATATAGTTTTATTTAATATAACAAATTCTACACAAGAATAACCCATTTTAATGTATGTTTAATCTCAATAACTAAAAAATATACTAATAATTAGTTTGACAGAATTGTCATTTATTTAAAATTTTAAAAATAATAGCAGTCGGTTGATCAACATATGAACGGTGATTGGTGGATTTAATTGTTTTGCAGTGTTCTCACTACCTAGAATGGATATGAAATATATTCGTTCAGTTGAAGGCAATACCATACGATTTTGTTTTGTAATATGTGCATAGATAAGCTAATATCCATGTGGGTGTAGAAAATATTAATTTTAAAATTTTGTACGTTTTCGTTTGTGGGTCGTAGAAAAAATATATTGCATAATTGAGTTCCTACAGCGTCATGCTCAAACTGTGTTTTCATATTCGTTCTTGTTACACAAATTACCGTTTTTTTTTAGTTGTTTTATATTAGTTACAATTTTTTAAAACTATTTGTTTAATTTTTTTTATAAGGGTAAATATAATTAAAAATGCGTGATCCTTGTAACGAGTCGATAAATAATAAACAACGTTTTTTCCCGAAGGGCAAAAAACGATATATTTCTGGTCTTGCCTAGGCTTGACCCTTATGAGATTACGTCTCTGTCTTACCTCGCTATAAACACTCATCTTCTTTCTATCCTGCGTGCGTCCTAGCCCGAACGTTACTCCCACCTCCGAACTCCGGCCGGAGACCGACCCACTAGAGTCAAGTGAGGGTATTCATCAGTACTTTTAAGCAGTGTTGCCAGTCTAGTACAATTGTACTAGATCTAGTACATTATCTAAGAATTTGGTACTCTAGTACACTCGAAGCAAAATCTAGTACTTTTTAGTTTTTCAGCATATGTTTCCATTTGACGTAAAATATATTAGAGAGTTTAAGCAAATGTATGTAAGATCTCAACTTACGTTACGTTAAACTTATAATGGATTTTATTTGTTGCACTATTGTCACACTCGACACTGTATTCAAACTGTCATACTTGTCAAAAAGTATATGCTACACCCAAGTATGTGTCAAATATTTGAAGCTACACTAAACAAATCAAATGCGATTAGTGAAGACAACTTACACCTAGTGCCACAAATAAAATCCAGTATTAGATTATGACATTTTTCATAAGCATTCAAATATGTAGATTACAGTATATCGCTAAAGTAGCGTTAGCAGATGGTTAGCGAATGTTTGCTAAAATTCTCTATTGTTGGGGTCTTCCTTATGTTCGTTCGCTATAAAGGCGTTTTTTGCTCTTCAATAAACCAAACCATCGCAATTTGAAAAATCTGGTACAATTTATAGAAACTGGTACATTTTTATGGAATCTGGTACAAAATAAAAATATATTCTGACAACACTGCTTTTAAGTCGTCAAGGACTTAACGGGGGTCAAGCCTAGGCAAGACCTGAAATATATCGTTTTTTACCCTTCGGGGGAAAAACTTTGTTTATTTCAGGGTCTGTACCGTCGGCTTGATCCTTATGAGAAGTGTTTGGTTTCTGACGACGCAGGATAGCGTACTGTAATAATTTATTTATACCATTAAATGTTTAAATCTTAATAATTTTATTAAAATTTGTAATAATTGATAAACACTAACCTAATAAACAGAACTACTTATTTGACTAAGGTAACGTATTTACTAACTAAATAGAAACAACATTTCTCTGCTGCCTCTATCCTTTATAATAAAACTTAATGAAATTATCTTTTCCTCTCCAGTTTTCACCTCGCAAAACAAAATCTAGTGGTAAACCGTTTTTGAATTTGGAGGATGCGACTGCTGATATTATGCTTCCTGGACATGAACCAATATCGGCCGCAATAAAGGCTGTCTTTATCCAACCAGAAATAACTGACCTGGAAGTTGGACTCACCTGACTTCTCGTAGTTATGAACAAATGAGTAAGTTGAGATCTAGCTTTTCTTCGACATTCGGAAACGTTAATTAATTTCTTAATCCAAAATAATGGATCACAAAACATCTCTGGACATTTGAGTAATTTCCACCCAGATTGCCAATAGGAGCCATTGTCGGTTTTAGATCCGAAAACAGGCCATAGTAAAACAGAATTTTCATCTAGTTCTAAGTGATCCTTATCCATTCTTAATAATGTTAGATCATGAACCTGAAACTAATAGTAAAATCAAAACCAAGCATCGAGAAACTTGGAAAATATTGGTTTCGTCTACTGGATCGTTCTTTATCCATTCTATTAGCTTACTTACATCCCATATAAACTTCTTATCCGGAGAATGTTTATTCAAATCTATGGCTTTCAGAATTTGTTTCACAATGGGGTTGTTAGAAATAGCTTCCCCTAATAATAGATCTGCTAATGTTGCAACTACAGACCTATGAACCTTAATTGTTGAGGGAGCTAATTTTTTTAGCTCGATATAGATAAGCAAGGTGCTGACCCACCTGACTTGGGTTACCAGGTGGAATGCTTCCTTCTCTAGCCCAAGAGAGCCATTGTCGCCATGGTGCTGAATACGTTTTAAGGGTTGATTTGCGCCAAGAATTCTTCAATAAACCTATATCTTCTTTTTTTCCAGTCCTTCGCAGCATAGGCCCACCCTGTATCTTCCAGGTTTCCAATCGAAGTTCTTTCGCCCGAGGGTTGCCTGTATTCATATCGACTAGGTGAAGACTGAGATTCTGTATTCTTAGAGGTCCGACTATAATTCGGGATTTCAGATCCTCCCTCCAAAAAACGCACTTCGATGCTATCAGAATGTAGGTTCCTTTAGCTGATTTGAGATGGCTTAACACTCGAGGAATCAGAGACCGAGGAGGAAACAGCCAGGCTAGGGAGAACGTACAATTCCTGCTGAATGCATTGATAAAAAGGGCTTTGCGGTCTCCGAGATCTCTTGACACATAGACTAGAACTACTTTCGACTTCATGGTGGCGAACAAATCTATCTGAGAAGTTCCCCACAATTGAAAAATTTGTCATGTTATTGTATCAGAAAGGTGCCAGTCCGGAGCTCATTTGTTGCATACTCCGGGGATAAACTGTATTGTTATAATGATCTTCATCTTGTGAATCAACTTCCATATACGTGACGTGAGGTCCAGTAATGCCAGAGATTTTGTTTTTCCTTGGTATTTGATATATGATACTACCGTTTAATTGTCCGTCTGAACAAGAAGTGTCTTCCCCTTTAGCATTCTGTCATATATTTTCGTCATAATCATAGTTTCGCGTAGATGGCGTAGAGTTCTTTTCTGTTGATGTGCCAATTTCTTTGATGTTCTAACCAAACTTCCTTTAACGCAACGTCCTCTATTTGTTCCCCCCAACCAGTGTTCGACGCATCTGTGAATATAAATACTTCTGGATCTTTTGGAAATAGGAGTGCTGAAGTCTTT